ATACTTTTAGCATCGATTTAGGAACACGTTTGTGGCTTGTACATTTTCTGGCTGTTGGCAACTATGATATTTTAATAAAAATAAAATCAGTCCATCAGCACATAAAGGTATAAGTACCTGCACTTCACTTGGATATTCGTATTTGCAATCATTAATATTGTATTTGTAAACTTGACAGCGGTCTCTCCTTTTCGTTCCCTATAAAGTATGATAAGGAGAACCTGCTGTCAAAATGACGAATAGCAAACACGAATAGGCAAGTGAAGTGCGGCGTAGAAAGTATTAGAAACAGTACATTTGAACAATTTTAAAACATCAACATTATTGCTAGGGACTCTTTATAAAGAATAATAGTTAGTGCAAGCTATGGAAGTGACAAAGACGACCTAAATTACTGCTGTTTCTTCAATACTCGAAAATTGAAAGGGGACTTGGTCCTTTGACGCCATCGCGAAACAGTGGTAGTATTTTGGATGTTTTAATTAATTAAAGTTTTGAAAATAGCTGAAGCATATTGTAGTCAGTGATATTGGGGCGATATTCGCTTGAGTTTGATGTCACCGGTGCCATAGAATTTCTTCCTATTATCGAGACTAAATGCACGCGATTATCGACTAAAGTAAGATATTGTACGTATGATCAAAAATTTGTTATTTAGATAGCTTTGCATCTATTACATTCTTGTAAGTTTATTTCAAATCAAATTCATTTTAATGATTTTAAGACCTATCTATAAAAAAAATGTGGGCTATTTCTTCTCAAGTTTGTTATTTCCGTACTCAGTATATATGCCGCCAATATTAGTTGACTTGCAGATTTTAGTTTAATGAATGTAGTAACCTTAAATTTAATTTCATTCAAATAAAAAAAAAATAATAACCTCCCAATAGACGGTTAGTAGCGAATCATGACAGTTTAATTTCTTGCGAAGTTCGAGTATAGAAAATTCAGCAAGTTTAAAGGCTATCAAGCCAAACACCTAATGTGGTTCATATTAAAATTATTACACTGATTTGTGTTTGTACTCCAATTTAAGCTTTATCTTAAACGACCTAAGGTTTAAATTCCTTTAATACAATTATAGTTATCTCCTTTATAGATATTGGTGAGCACCCCTAATTTATAATTTAAGCAAGGAAGTCAGTGTAATAATTAATATAACCACGAAAAAGTTACAAACAATTATTTCTATAAGAAATAGCAATATTCCTAAAATATCATCTTTTAAAAAAATACTATGATCTTGGATTAAGCGCTTACATATCGTTATATATAAGTTAAATTTAATTATAATACTGAATGCATCAGATCATACGAAATAAAATAAAATGTTACAAACTGAACAGATTGTTAGAAGCATTGTTTAACAATATAATATAGTAAATAATTATTTATTTATATTTTACATACAATATGGATACAGATAAATAATTATTAACTATACACTGTGCATGGTGGATTCAAAATCTACCTATAAAAAAAATCGTAAGTACAATAATACCACTCTCAAAACAATCACAAATTTTCCCAACGTAAATTAGTATTATTTTTCTAATGGTAACAAGATACGAAAATTCAAATGTAGTATTGAGAAATTTCATTTAATACGTTGAGGTTGGTCTCCAAGCGTTGAAATTTAGATCTTGTTGCCATTAAATAAGTCCGAATCTACTTTAATTATAGCTTGTTTTGCCGTCCCCAGTGCAGATATTAAATACATACATAATTATATTCAGAATTCAATTACTGCTAAATCTTTTTGAGATTATTAATTTAAAATTTTATTGATTAACGATTTTGGCTTCAATTCAGTAAATCCTTTTTATAATTTATTTTAGTTTTAAAGATTGGTGAATGGGCCGATATGCACCAAAAAATTGAACTGTCTGCAATCCTGCATGCTTGTTTCAAGAACAATTTATTTTCACAAGTCCGATTGTCATATTATCAAAAACTTGTTATTTAGATAGCTTTGAATCTATTACATTCTTGTAACTTTATTTCAAACCTAATTATTTTTAATGATGGTTAAACTTGTTTCTACCGATCGTCTTTATTAAAATATTAATTAAAGAGTGGCAAAGTGCTTTATTTTTGATAAAACCAAATAAGTGTCAAGTGTTGGAAATACAAATAATGAAAATTACGAACAATGCGTGAAGGCATTTTAAAATACCCCTTATAAGTACATCTAAAATCTAATTGATGGGAAAAACTCAAGATTTACGATATGCTGTTTCGAAATTATACACCTACATTATATTACATAAATTTACCTAATTACATTAAGAAGGTATCCATTTCATCCAATATAAATTTAAGCATTCAAGCTTGGTTATGTAAAAATAGTGTGATTACTGTAATAAATAGTGTTAATTTTTCAAAGTTTTTGTGTTTTTATATAAGAAGTATTTTAAAAATTGATTTTATTTTCTAATGTCTTAAAGTGAATAAGAAGATAATTGTTGGAAAAAAAAACAAACTTTGAATTTTAATACATTTATAGATACATTTTATTTAGCGACAGTAAACTGTGTGTTATGTGCACAGTACTAGAGATGAAGATCATCATCATTTATATTCTAAATCCTTGAAAATATAATAATAAGTAATATTTAATTCAGTTATCACACTAAATTAACTCATGAAGCCATTAGCAATTATTCGATGTTACTTGTATGACGATATACTCATTTATGATATTTATATAATGTATGTTATATTTCGTTAAAGCGTAGAATGGCACAATGATAAATATTATGATATAAATAGAAAATTTAACAGTAATGTATATGCGACAGATATATGCTGGCTGGGCAAATCTGATCAAATTCGCCATCGATTTTCAACTTTAGCAGTCAAGCTCAAAGTTCAAAATCGACTGCAGAATTTTGACACTTTGCTGTAGCCAATTGTATTGTTATCTGTACAATTAATTATAAGATAATTATAATGAAATAAAAACAAATTAAATAAATATCACGAACAGGAATCTGTATAATAATATTTAATGTATTTACATATTAGAAAACATATAATATATATGTTTTTACAATAAATATAGGGAGAGTATTGTCGTAAATATACATATACAGTACCAGGCCATTTATAAGTCGCATCGTGCTTTAGAGAGAGATACTCGGCTAGCTTCGGCTTTGTAGAGCGTCATCTCTGTCACACGAAACACTAACAGTCCGGTATCTAAAACTTTTTTAAGTTTTTTTTTAGAAATCAATACAAATAAAACATGTATGTAAAAGACAACTTATATGTACTATGTATGTTAATTTATTTATTTTAATGAAAAACTATATTTGTATTTCCAACCAAATATAAATACAAAAAACTAATAGATATGCGAAGCCTCTCATAAAATAATTACTGCCATTATCATCCTTATTTTTTTTTCTTTCTTTCACGAAATATTTGTTTGTTTAAGCAACTCTGTATATATATTTTAAGAAGAACGCGACTGCTCTTTAGCGACGTTGAACTACGACTGACAGTGACAAGTCAGCGACTAAAGGTCAGGTTGACAAGGGTGACAGAGACGGCGCTAAACGAAGTCGAAGCTAGCCGAGTATCTCTTTCTAAAGCTCGATGCGACTTATAAATGGCCGGGTACTGTACCTACAAGCAGGTACAATTAAGCGATACACAGTTATATGCTTTAAGTTATTCATAAGAGATTTTTCCTTTAGTGCGGCGGTTTCACTCGGCGATATTAGTCGAATCGACTGAATAAACAGATTTATAATATAGTTTGCAACGTAACTTAATGGCACTACTGCTTTGGGATAGTATTAAGAGATCCTGGTACAAGAGTCAAATGACAACTTTGTACGGTGATTAACTTACTGGTGCGAGTTTCTACTGTGGTTATAATTACGATTCAAATTATATTGAGTTTTTCTTGCCAAGTGACATATTGATTGAGTTCGCTTCGTGCAAACGCCGCATTACATTTATTTATACAACGTAATATACGTTTGTCTTTCTTTATTTTATTATAAGGGTTGTGAAAGAATTTTAAAACACATTAATATCTTTCGAGATAACACTCTTGTTAAATTAAACTTTATAACGACAAAAAAATATTTTTGTTTAACCAAACTTTAATGTATTTGTCTTAACAAAAATATAGTGAGGTCTTTTATTAAATTAGCAATATCAATATAACAAACTATTAAATAAAGAACAATTATCACTTAAACGATATACTTAAAGTCGTATATAAATTATAATCATTTGAAAATTAAAAGATTTATGGCGAGATATGATCATAATAAAGGTTAAGTAATAATTAAGTACATTCACTGGACAACGATGATTTTGATAAATAGCTTTTGATGGCACAGAACCAAAATAATTTTCCATTTGACAGGAATATTCATTAATTTATAAAATAATACTTATAAATGATATGACACTTCTAGGACAAGTATGTTTAGGGTAGATATTAATGCCACAGTAGCTATACAAGCTAAGTCAGTAGAATTACTAAATAATGCACCATAAATGCAAAAACAGTTAAAAATCGCACGTAAATCATACTTTGCAACCTTTCCTTGCAGCGAAAAAGTGAATATTTTCAATTGTACAATTAGTACAAATGCATACAACATAATGCCGTTTGTGTGTCCATAACTTCAATGACGACAAAAACACGATAATTATATCAAGACCTTAATCTGTAAGCGTCATTATAATAACATTGCTTATTCTCTGTAATAAAATGTAAATGACGAATAAGTAAGATAGTATAATGAGCTAACAAGACTTCTTGCATACACAAATAAAATAGATTTTCATTACCTACCGATGCGTGTATCTACTGTGGTTAAAATTTCACAATTTATATATTAAAACCATTATTTCTCAACGATATCATTTATAGTTTTTAATAAATCACACAGTTAACTCATTCTTAATAATGTTTGATTTATTGTAATACCATATTTAATAAAAACTAAGAAAATATGCAAGGGTTTTTTTTATTTCAGATTATACCTATCGTACATGTATTTATTTAAATGTAATTATATGGTGTTTGAAAGATACCGTAAAATCGATTAAATTGAACATAATATATTGTATGATGCATTAATTATTACTTACTCGGTGCAACGAAAGGCGTTACCATTTAACACAAAATGTTGAAACCAACTTGATGTGGTAAAACAGCTTAGTAAGTTGGAGCTGTGTAGTCGATGTTTCCTGTAAATAAAAAATATATTTATTTATGTAAGCGTTTGAAACGACCAATAATATTAATTTATTAAGAATATATGGTTGACACCAATTAATTAGATATGATATGTTGTGAGAAGGGCGGAACTGTATGCGGGTTGCAGGTCATGTCATCTATATGCGAGTGCTTATGCAAAATTTTATTCAAATACGTTATCCAAAAAACGAAATTCTATTAGTCCGCCAGGCAGGTTATCAAAAAATTATGGACACTATTTTTTCTTTTGCAAATCAAACTAAAAATGAGGAAGAGCGCGCCAAAGCTTGGGAGTGGTGCTTGACGCCAGTTCCAAGTAAAAATTGTACGAATACAAGACGTCAACATTTGTTTATGTGAAAAAAGAAATGGTACTTTTTGATACTCTACACGTAAGACGTACGATACATGAAGAAAACAAAATTAGTCAATATCCCTATTCTTAAGGTCGACGCTCGGGCCTGGCACGGTCTATATAGCGTGAGTAAAAATAAATAAATATTGCCCACATCACACTAATTAGCCCCAAAGTAAGCACTGTAAGGCTTGCGTTATAGGATGCTAGGGTAATGGACGGAATACATAATAATATATTGATACACATATAAGTATACCATATCTATAAATATATATATATAAACATCCATGACTAAAGTACAAATGTCCGTATTCATCCTACTACATTTTCCCCAATTGGGATTCGAACCCGGGACCTCTGAGTGGGCTATACCTTGAAACCCGACGTATAAAACCACTCGGTTACAGGGGTCGACCGAATCAGTCATTTGCAAAAGTCACCGAGACTGACTGAAGTGGGACTTTGTCAAACACTGAACAAAGCACAACGTACCTTGAGCTGAGTAGACGGTTTCTTGGAAGACGGCATCAGGTGATGAAAGGTGAAGAACGTCAGGATTCTGGTGACCCACGGGCTCGTCAATGTTGAATCAGCATCTTTCTTCAACGGAGACGAATCCAGGATGCAGAAAATTGAAAGTTGGATTCCGCCGTTGACCGTGTTCGAATTATCACTCACCGGTGGTGTGGGTCTGCGAGAAGGGCGGGTCGCTGTAGGCGGGCTGCGGGTCGGGTGCTCCCGGGTACGCGGGGAAAGCCCCAGGGCTCCCCACGGCGCCTTCCACTTCGTACGCGGGCGCGAACGCCGCGTCCGCGCCCATGCGGAAACGCTGCAGAGCGAAGAATGCGCAACCCACCTACGGAAGGTAGACTGGGTGTAGAACTCAACGATATTAAAATTTACAAAGATTAATTTGATACCTGTTCGAAAAACCATTGACACATAAACTTGTGCAGTAACGTTTTTGTATGTAAAATTGCTACTGCGCAGGATTCCTTGTCTATGGTCGTTGCTCAAGAAGTTTGTCGGGGTGTAAACCATTTATTTATTTCTTTCAGTTACACATGCCGGCTTACAGAAAAATCCAAAAAGCTGGCAAGTCATACATAAAAACATTAACATTCATTGCAGGTACATAGGTATTTATGCCAATTAAATAAAATTATAAAAAAAGCGACAAAAGCAAAAAAAAAGTCAGATTGTCTATTGTAAAATTATTAGTTACTTAATGTTTTGATAAAATTAATAATCATGTCAAATTAATAAAACAATTAATAATATCATATCATTCCAAGAAATTAAAAAGCTCAATGTCAACTAATAACAAATAATGTCTAATATACTAATTAATAAATAATGTCATACCATTTAAATTATTAATAAATAAATTGTCAAATTCAGAACAATCAGTAAGCTATTTTCTCAAGAAACTCAGGTGCAGCCGCCATTAGCTTTGTTAAACCATCAGCAAACAAGTCGAAATTGTCACGTTGAGCGAGCATGTCCCCGATGAGTCGGATCGCTACTATATTTCTTTCGCATTTTTTCACGGAGCTTCGTGTCATACGGTATAGATTTCTCCGCACGTGAGATGAACCCAGAAGTGCTTCAGAGGAGTTTAAGAACTTTTTGATTGGGGCAGATTCTGAGCGCTGCTTGTGTATCTAAGAGTACCTTTTTTAATATCGTTGGTAAAATACCTACCTATAATGCCAGTTCACGGTTGACAATTCTTACGTCGTTTCTACAAGCTGTATTTACTACGTGTGTCCATAACAAAAAATTAAAAGCATTTGGTATAATGAATATTGGTATGTTTTGACGGTGACTTTTGTAAATCCAACTAATTGTGGGACATCTACGTTGATATGGTATTATAAATATTAAAGCCTAATATTAAATATTATACACTGTTGACAAAATAAATGTAATAAAATAATTATATGTCCATAATTATGTGCACTATGCTGTTGGTAACTTTTAGATGAATGTCTAATTATATATGTCTTTTGGGTAGACTTATATGGGAGAATTAAATAACAAAGGTGAATTTCCATTAATATTGTTAGATTACAGCGATATCAAGAAAAAGTTAAGTAAAAAGTCCATAAATGTCTGACTAAGTCAAATGCGAACATTTGAGATAACGGGCGACGCTGCTCACTATATTTACAATGACGGCAGCGGCTACCGATAGTATTCCAGAAATGCAGGTAACATTAAGTTAGTTGTACTATTTGCCAAAAAATCTTTACTTTATTATGTTTCTTAAAACAGTTCCAGATTTTTGCACTAAAAAGCATTATCCGCGCACTTAAGTACGTTACTGCAGCGGCCTGCAAAAGAGGCACTGATGGACTAACGTGTAAATGTGGGCCTCGGCATCCATCAATGGTCATTATTTACGGAATTGTTACCATGTACCTCGTTTTTAGCGAGTTTCCGATATATTTTCAGTTACACCGTGATCATGTAGAATGAAACAGTGCCGAAATATCGGAAACTCGCTAAAAACAAGGTACATGGTAACAATCCCGTAAATTACTTATATTACTATAATGAGTATATGAATGTATAGAGAGTACTATATGAATACCAAGGCAGAACTTTCTTCAAATCAATGACGAACAACAAAACTCATTCGTTTGTTTTTTTATTTCGATAATCAGATTTCTATTGCAAATTCAGTCCAAATTTTAAATAAACCTTTGATTAGTTGCCATGTTTTAGAGTTATAGATCGTTCCATTTTTAAATTACACGACATAATATGAGTTTACTACTTAATTTATTATTTGGCCGCTAAACACCACAGATACAACAGCCGGTCGCTGTTCGTGTGAAAGAAGGTTGTAAAAATAATGCTTAAATTTCCAAGCATGTTTAAGAAAATGGATATTTCAGGACAGGAATGAAAAGCTATTAGCGCTCTTAAACCTACTTGAAGGAGGAAAGGTCAGGGAAGTCGCACTGGGCCGTTATGTAAATTTAAAGATTGATTAAAGGAAAACACTGACTGAAATGGAAAAGCTACGGGAGGATCGTTGTACCCGCAGACACAATTAATACTTATAATCTGCGTTGGTATTTGAAAAGGATCAGCCTGAAATTTTGCAAGGCTTTTATTTTTAACTAACCACCCATGTTTTATACAGCCGCTCAAAATAAATTTAGGATCCTGTTATATAAATAACTGTTTAATAGAAAATACGATACATGATAATTTGAAGTAGACATATTTATCTTATTTTTTTTCATCCGAACGAAGTTTAAGAAAAAGAACAGTATATGACTTCATATATGACTTTCATTAATAATATTGTTAATGAAATAAATATATGCAGAAATCATTTTATTGTCCAATAAATATTGAACCACTGAGCTTCAACTTAATAATGGTTTGGCAACTAAGTAATTGCCGATTTTAGTTATAGATGTCTCTCACTTCCATCTTTATGATATCCGTAAATGTTATGGTCTTATTCTTCTTATATTATGTTAGCAGTCAACTTTACTTAGCTTTACAAATTTCATTGCGTAGATATTTTCGAAAGTGATTTAAAAAAAATCCGTTTAGGAGATTATTCGCATAAAAATGAACTACGTTCAAGTCGACCAGTTTAGTTTAATGAGTATGAAATCAAAACTATTATCGAAGCGAATCGTCACGTAACTACATGAAAGATTGCTGAGAAGTTAAATGTTGCACATATAGCCTTGCTACAGCGTTTAAAACGTGTCAGTCTCGTTAAGATCCTTAATATTTGAGATCCGAACGATTTAAAAGAAATTCGACTGGCAAAGTACACCAACAGCTATAAATTCTTGCTAAAACGCAATGGAGTCGATCCCTTTTTAAAAAGAATCGTCACTGGAGACGAGATTACGTAACAATAACATATTTTAAAAAACACACGAAAAAGATGGTTCATAAAGCAGCTTCTAAACTGCGTAAAACTATTTGCTCAATGTAACATTTATTTTTAGCTAGGAATCATCAAAACCATACAGCTCAAAATTTTAAATGCTAGATGGGCCGATAGATGTGTCCGGGAGTAAAGATTAAAATAAGTAAAAAAGTAACTTATTTTATTGAACAAATCGGCAATTACTCAGTTGCCAACCCATTACAAAATAAAATCTGAGGTCTATGATGTATCGAGAAAGCCCAAAGAGGTTGTAATGAAACCTTTTACTCGATTTATTGTATGCTTACTTAAATACTTGAATCTGCAAAATACACGTGCAATTTCTCTGAAGTCTCCTAACAAAAGTACCACTTACCCAAGCAAAGATGGAGAAGAAACAGAAGGCTATGGCGCCCTGCATGTTGTTGGCGGTCCCGTATGGCGGGTTCTCTGTCTTGCCCCACGCGTTTGATAGGTAGCAGAAGCCAACGAAGTACAGGAACGCCCAGAAAGCTGGAACATACATGACAAATAAGACATATTAATATAATTTTATTGCCTTCGAAGGCAGACGAGCGGACGGGCCACCTGATGTTAAGTGGTTACCGTCGCACATGGAGGTCAGACATGCCAGAGACAGCCATTCCGCTACCTTTCGTGGAACACTCTATTTCTAGCTTCTCTTGAAGAAAACTATGTTAAAGTACTGAGGGAACAACGTGGAGGGGAGCTCATGCCATAATTTTATTGTCCGTGGAACTAAAGATGTAGAACCTATTTTATCTTCTATGCTGAAAGGATATGTGGCTAAAGGTTGGCGGTATATTATATAATCACATCACATTATCATCATGCGCTTTTGAAAGTGATAAAAAAGTGATCTATGTACAATATTATTATAAGTATGTGTCTAGTTTATTGTGAAGTAGATAACAAGTCGCTTTTAGGTACAGTCAAGATTTTATTGGATTTTATATCCAAATCAACATTTTATTTTATACTCATAGATTCCGTATAGTGGCAAGACATTGATAGAATTATGCTGTTGCAATATCACTTAAGGTTATGTCAAAGGTCTAGTCAATTACCAGTGACACCAATTTGATCTCCAGAACATCAGTTCTCTTTCGACGCCATTATTCTACTCTTCATTGGGATGATTCAATTTACACTCCATAATAAATAAAAAGGTCACAATTTTAAAGTACTTCTCGTCCGAACAATGACAATGAAAATACATATCTTCACGTGTACAGAAAGAAGGTCAAATAATTTCTCAGACATTTTGTTATTCTTAGATTTAGAATTTTAGATCAACAAAAAGACACCAGTTGGTTGTTTTTAAGTTGGATAGAAGCAGAAACATGTAATTATTACAACCAATTTAATTTCTACTCGAAGTGATCGAAAGTTGCTTATCTATCATCAAATCATTGACAAGAATCTGTAACTACATGGTTCCTGCTATAGAAGATAATTACTATATATTTTGTGATTATGTGTTTAAACTAACTATAAAGAGATACATACTACTATAAATTTCGTGTTAGTGGTCAATCAAACCGTAACTACGGCTATGTCTGTCCGTGTGGTGTAGTATTGGCCTCTTAGAAGCTTGGTGTGCTCAATAGATCGAGAATGTACTTCACGCCGGCCCACCGACTGCAACTTTATAAGGCACAGGTTCGGCCTCACATGGAGTACTGCTCTCATCTTTGGCCGGGGGCACCCCAGTACCAGCTTCTCCCTTTAGATCGCATCCAGCGCCGAGCGGCTCGAATCGTCGACGACCAGGACCTTTCCGATCAGCTTGATCCTTTGGCTTTGCGTAGGGATGTAGCTTCGCTCTGCATCTTCTATCGCATTTATCACGGGGAGTGTTCTGAGGAATTGTTCGGATTAATCCCAGCTGCTGCATTTCGCCATCGTACATCGCGACAAAAATTTCATCCCCATCATCTTGATGCGTGGCTATCCACAACCGTGCGTTTTTGTCGAATTTTTTTACCACGTACGACAAAACTGTGGATGACATATTGTCGCCAGCAGTGTTTCCGGATCAATACGACCCAAAAACCTTCAAAAAAAGAGCGTACTCCTTCCTTAAAGGCCGGCATCGCATTTGTGATACTCCTGGTGTTGCAAGTATCCATGGGCGACGGTGATCACTTACCATTAGATGAGCCGTCTGCTCGTATGCCACCTATAACATAAAAAAAAAAGTACTGCCAGGTGTCCCGATATGTACCTCCTGATCGGGACGTTAAATGTCCCGATTAATCAAAAAATGAAATTAAGGTAATTAAAATAATACTATACTTGTACTAGTAGTTTAACACGCAATAAATTAAAACCAGACTTAAAATCCCTTGTTTTTTGTTTACTGTCCCGATCTGCAAACCTAAATCCCGATTTTTTTGACCTCATGTACCGATTTGAAAACAAATCGGACCTGGCAACACTAGTGTGGAGCTAAGAGAAATTAACACTAACATAGTTAGTTTAGGTGGTTTAGGGGTTTAGTTTAGATCGCTTCAAGGCAACAGATTGAAATAGGACTGTTACAACCTATCAACATTGATTTACTGGCGCAGCGACCTGCGTAATGTATATTTTATAAGACCTATTTTCTAAAGGAATGGAAAACGAATGTAAATATAAGGTCGAATTATAACAAAAAATATATAATTGTTCATAGACAATATTTATCAGACTCTACAAAATACATTCTACATGAAAGAAAATTTCAAGAAACACCCCTTTTGCTGTTTTTAAATAAATTCTAAAAGATGGTGTCAACGTATCTTAAGGAGTTGGAATAGAAAAACAGTGTTGATCTCAGATTGTCTAGTCGCATTATGACTAAACCCTATTAATGACTATATCGCAAAATGACTACAAATAATTCCGTCTAGATCTTTAATGGACTACTGCGCATAATGCCTAAGATCGCAAAATGATTAGATCTTTATTTGACCACATAAAATTATGACTAGATCGTAAAAATACTACCTCTTTATTTGACGACATCTTACAATGACTAGGTCGCAAAATGACTAGATAGATTATTTGTCTGGTTTGTGTTTTGTTACATAAATGTTGAGTTCAATGAAAATACACAATTTCGGAAAGTCCCATTTATAAATTAATTACACACACACACACACACACATTATATCTATCCGTTACTCTAATATCCGATAACACAAGCCTTACAGAGCTTAAGCCTCGATGACACGGGGCGAGTTCTCAAGCTACTCGCGAACTCGCTGGCTTGTAGCTTGTAACTCGCCCCTTGTCATCTACACTTTACTTTGGGGCTAGGCTAGGCTCAATAAACCCAGCATGTGTGTGTTAAAAAATCGCATAAGTGTAACGTTACCTAAGATTCAATCAAAAAGGGAAGATACGGTACGGTACGACGCAAGTAAGACGTCCAATAATATAAAACCAGCCAAATGCGAGTCGAACTCGCGTTCATAGGGTTCCGTACAACAAATCGCTAAAGGAAAAAACATCTGTTTGTTTTCATCACAACTTACAAAGTACATTAGGAAACAGCGTTTTCAGTATTTGTTGTTTAAATACAGCACATGGGACACCATATAGCAAAATTACACATTCCTTAATAGTTTCTGTTTTGAGATAGACCTCGTAACAAAAATGGTCTAAAAATTACAACTTTGACGGCCCCCCATTTCTTCGTTTTTGATAATAAAAAATAATCTAAATTATGTTAATATCCTACTCAATGAGCCCTAGACAATGATGTGTCACATGCTGGGTTATAAAATAAAGAAAGATGCTTGTCTCCTTTCATGTATGTTATTCCATTGAACAATAATTTAATTGAATTTTTAACTAATTACTCAGCATTGGGCAAGCATACTACATAAAATACCTAAATTTCAGTTTTGTAACTCATTCCGTTTACGATCTAGTGAATTGTGACATACGGACAGACGACAGAGTGACATCAATAGAGTTCCTTTGGGTACAGAACCCGAAAAAACGGCAAAAACACGTTTATGGTACGGAAACCCCCTTAAATATTCATTTATTCTATTTGCGTTACATCATCTGTGAAAATTTCAACTGTCTACACGGTTTATGAGCAGGTACATTTAGGCATTCATTTTTATTTATAGAGATTTTATACTTACCTGTATTAGTATAAGAAGCCAATCAACGTATCTAATCACTTTGTGACCTAGTCATTATAAGTGGTGGTCACATACAGATGAAGTCATTTAACTATCTAGTCATTATTTCATGTGGTCAAATAAAGATCTAGTAATTTCGCGATTTTAGGCATTATGTGATGTAGTCAATTGAAGATCTAGACGAAACGATTTAAAGTCATTTTGCGATATAGTCATTAATAGAGGTTAGTCACACTGCGACGAGACAATCTGAGCTCAACCCGTTAAACATTGTATTTCGACATATTATATGAATTCTTATGAAAATAAAAATATATTATAATCGTTTGCAACCCTATCTTCTAACATATTAGTTGTTGCAGCGAACTTGCAATAGTGATGACTATTTTTTTTCTTCTTTAATCAGGTAGATTATCAAAAAGTATTGGACACGTATTTTTTATTTTTTCACATAATATAAACATTGCAGAGATATATTGATTTGAAAAGTCGCATGACGTCACGTTTTGGTACATTTTCACTTAAAAGTGACGCCACGAGCCCCTACTCCCAAACTTTGTAATTTTTTGGTTGATTGCCCAAAGAAAAAATACGTGTCCTTTATTTTTTGATCATCTAACTGATGGACTAAATAGAATTTCGTTTACTGTACCCCGTCATCACCCCTATTCTTAGGTCACAGACATTTCGAGCCTTATGCTCTAAGATTCGAGCATTTCCTAGTTATTGCAACGATATATAGATTAAATTTTATAATATGCGTTTTGCGATTAAATATATACTAATTATTGCCGCTATTCCAGCTTACCCTTACCCTATATACCCTTGAAAACTCTCTTGAGACTAAAATGAAAACTATTTAGGTAAACTATTATATCAGGGAAGTTTGCCAAGCCACTTTTTGAAATTTATTATTATTTGTTTCACGTACATCACTCATTAAATAAAACTAGTTTTAACAGGTAAATGCACTCAAAATAAAAAATAATTATTCCGACGATGCAGACCTGTAAAGGCTGCGAAACGTCAATAAATAAATAAATTTCGTGCATTAACCCGTTACAACTAGTTTTATTTATTATCATCCCTGATATCTATTTATTTATTACATACCTATCATATTAAAAATGAAGGTATGATACTTATAAGAGCATTGCAATGGCAACATTTGAGGGATATTACAGTTTTTAAAGACTATAACCGTTCGTATAAACAAATAATTTTTGAATTCGTAGCACAATTCAAGAAAATATAACCGAACATACAAACAGCAGCGAATACAAAAACTCCTCTTTTTGTTTAAAATGGGTTAAAAATTACCGAATTTGATGTAAGTCGTACTGTTATTCTATCTTTATACATACAGTGTGTTTTGCAGTGGTAATACATTTAGTAGTACGTAATAGACAGTCACGCAATATTTGTATTTGTGATAATGCTTTAGAGTAAATAGGTACAGGTATATTGACGATTTGTTCAACGGGATATTTTTACTGGCAATAAATCAATAACTGATGCGTGTATTGTATAATTCGAATAGAACGTTTGCCTAACCTTAGTTTTCTTGTTGTAAAAATGTTAAGTCATGATGTTTTTGTAACTTTAAAGCATTAATGGGAAAAACTTAATTTCACTCTTGGTTATAATTTAAGTTGGTGCAACACCAGCGCTTCCACTGCCTTTTACTCGAATATTCCTGGGTTCGCATCCCGGTGGGAGTACTTATATGCGCATTGAACTTAAATATGGTTTCCGAGTCATAAATAAGTATATATGTTTTCGATACGTTATTTACTTTATAATAGGATACAGTATTGCTTTGCTTAGTTTGGGATTACTTAAATAATCGTTGTGTGTTGTATCCAGTTTAATTATTTACTTTACTTCTGTCTGTGTCTGCCTAGACAAATGTTTTCTTTCTGATAACTATTATTTGTAGCGCCTATTTAGAGAAGCATTCTTGATTTCAAAGAAGACTGTAGCCATTAGGTTCTTTTCATATATTATTCTGTTGTGTTCTGTTTTTGAAGAGGGTAAACTTGCCAATGCAATATAGGTACAAGAACATTCAGAACCTAGGCCAGACCAACCTAAACGTTTTATGTCTAAGCTATATTAGCAAACGGGCTTTTATTATAGCAAACCGGACACTAACGAAAGTAAATGCCTTTTTTTAAGTTTTTTTTTTTAAATATATGGCTTACTCCTAACCTTGACAAGATCTAGCCAGAAGACAGAGATGAGATGTCGACGATGGAACGAACTAAACTAAAAGAAACCTTCGTTTGCGACTTGAACAGATTCAGGTTATAGAAATTCGGACACTCAGATGTAAGCCGGAAATTTCACTCCTGGGCTGTCCACATTATGATGTTTAAAGCAGAGCGCTGGAAGTATGTGTGGAATATAAGCCAAATAAGAATAGAAGAATAAACGCGATGATGGAATGAGCTCAAACTCAATATCAGTTATGTTGAGACATTTGTCAAAATTCCTCTAGTAAAATGCATGTAATGCCAGCACTCCACTTGGAAGTACATGTTTGCTATTTGTAAACTTGACAACAGTCTGTCCGTTTCATGCTTTATAAGTAATGAAAAAGACAGAATACTGTCAAGTTTACAAATAGCAAACACGAATAGCCAAGTGAGGTGCCGAAATGAAGCGTTAACTTGGTATGTAAGGTGAACACTGACCGGCGTGACGGACCGCAATGTTACAATCGCAACAAGCATGTTACGTTGCGCCGTCTCTGTTGAAAAACCGTGTAAAATAGTTGCTGATAGTTTTTCAGTTACTGCAAGAGTTTGCTTTAAAACATGTAGCATTGCGGCTCATAACGCCGGTCAGTACCCACCTTTAAGTATATGATGTTAACTCACCAGAGAAGCCCATATCAGCCAATACATAGTGTTTCCTCGTCTTCACGGAAGACATCTGCTCGAAGAGATATTCCCCAGCGATGAATGCTATGGAAGCGATGAAGGCGATCACCGATATGCCCACGCCGTAGTTGCAGGCGTTGGTGTCATTATTGTAGACGCAGTACTCCTTCTTGTCCTCCTTGCTGATGTACCAGCCTTTCGCCGATATGCAGCCCATGACGATCACGCTGAACAGCTGGCAAAGGAAGTCAGAGTCAGCGAGCAGCAAAACTTAAAGCAGACGATTTAGGCGTACCTACGTTTCTTACTCAATAGAACGCTAGTCCTCAATGAAATTCAAAATTCAATATCGTTTATATAGTCTAGGCTGTTACAAGCATTTGTGAATGTCGAAAAGCTACACCATCGGTTCGCAAATCTACGGCGGGAAACCCTGTACTTAGAAGAACCTGCAAGAAACTCAGGAAGGGCTGTTTTTCTCTCGATGTATTATAATACAAAGTCAAATCCGGAATCAGAATTACGGACAAAACCTTCTATGCACAAGAAACACAAGTCACGGCCCCCAGTTCCCGGCAGCCTCGCTATTCCTGGTCACGGTGGCGACCACGGTAACAGTGGGGCCGGGGGTGCCAAGAATCTCCGGGTTACGGGAGGCCACCACAAAAGACTGACCCTGGCGACGTTCAACGGACGCACGCTACGTTTTAACTCGCATCTGGCGCAACTCGAGGTGGAACTTGGGAAGATTAGGTGGCACTTTTTAGGGTTAAGTGAAGTCCGAAGAGAGGGGAGAACACCATAACCCTCGAATCGGGCCACCTAATGTGCTTCCGCGGGGGAGACCAACAGTCCCAAGGTGGCGTTGGCTTTTTGGTAAATCAGTCCCTTGCCGATAACGTTGTGGAAATGTCCAGCATGTCGAACAGGGTAGTGTACCTTATTATAAAGCTCACCGAGAGGTATAGCCTCAAGGTGGTGCAAGTGTACGCATCGACCTCGACACACTCGGACGACGAAGTGGAGGATATGTTCGATGATATATCGAGGGCCCTCCATTCCACTACTAAGACCCACTACACACAACGTTGTTATGGGGGACTTCAACGCTAAAGTGGGAGTTCAGAATTACAGCGCATCGGTAGTAGGATCCCATGGGTTTGGAAGCAGAAGTCATAGGGGGCCAATGCTCGTCAACTTCCTCGAACGGGAGGGGCTCTTCTTGATAAACTCTTTTTTTCAAGAAACAGCCCCAAAGGAAGTGGACATGGCAAAGCCCCGACACTATGACTAAAAATGAGATCGATTTCATCATGACGGAGAAGAGGTACATATTCAGAGACGTCTCCGTGATCAACAGGTTCAATACCGGTAGTGATCACCGAATCGTCCGGGGCTCTCTGAATATCAACTTTAAGGCCGAGCGCGTCCGTTTGATGAGATCCAGGCTCCAACCTACTCTGCTCCAATCTATAAAAGGATCTGAAAAGTTCCAGTCAAATCTGGAGAATCGATTTGCTGCCGTGTAAACCACATCAGACGTAAACCAAAACCTCGAAAATGTGGTTCGGATCCTCAGGGAAGAAGGTACGAGACTATGTGCAACGCAGCGTAAGGGCAGGAAGTCAAAGCTTTCGGAAGAGACTTTAGGGCTAATGAAGGAACGAAGTGAAAATCCACCCGTCACTTCGTCGGCAAAGCGGACTCTAAACCAAGAGATCAGTAAGCACGTACGACACGACCTTCGGTGCTCCAATACTCTCTCGATCGAGAGAGCGATCGAGCAGAATCGAGGGTCTTGCGCGAAAACTTGATGACTTCTTATCACCGGAACAGGCTGGGTTTCGGAGCGGATACGGCACCATAGACCACATCCACACAGTGCGGCAGATTATGCAGAAGACTGAGGAGTACAATCAGCCCCTGCCTACCTAGCCTAGCCTAATATTTGTGGACTATGAGAAGGCCTTTGACTCGATTGAAATCTGGTCTGTTCTGGAGTCCCTGCAACGTTGCCAAGTCGACTGGTGATACATCCAAGTGATTAGATGTCTCTACGAAGCCGCCACCATGTCTGTCCAAGTACAGAATCAGCAAACAAGTCCCATACATTTGCATCGTGGAGTGAGACAAGGGGACGTTATTTCCCCAAAATTGATCACTAATGCAATGGAGGATATGTTCAAGACGCTGAACTGGAAAGGACATGGCATCAGCATAAATGCCGAACGCATCTCTCACTTGCGATTTGCAGACGACAGCGTCATAATGGCAGAAACCCTGCAGGACCTACAACAGATGCTGGATGACATGGCTGACTCTTCTATACGCATCAGCCTACGGATGAACTTGGATAAAACCAAGGTCATGTTCAATGAACATGTTCTACCGGAGCCGATTGCAATACACGGTGTCGTTCTCGAAGTTGTTCAAAAATATGTGTACCTCGGGCAGACATTGCAGTTCGGTAGAAACAACTTTGAGGACGAGGTAAATAGAAGAGTTCAGCTAGGTTGGGCAGCTTTTGGGAAGCTGCGTCAAGTCCTGACATCGTCGATCCCACAGTGCCTAAAGACGAAAGTCTTCAATCAGTGCGTCCTACCTGTGATGACATATGGAGCCGAGACGTGGACGCTAACGGTACGGCTGGTCCACAGGTTCAAAGTCGCTCAGCGCGCTATGGAAAAGGCTATGCTCGGCGTTTCTCTGAAGGATCGCATCAGAAATGAGGTAACCCGACAGAGAACCAGAGTTATCGACATAGCCCACCGGATTAGCAAGTTGAAGTAGCAGTGGGCTGGCCATATTTGCCGAAGAACCGATGACCGTTGGGATAGACGAGTTCTGGAGTGGAGACCGCGTCTAGGCAAACGTAGTGTAGGACGTCCTCAGGCACGATGGAGTGACGATTGGCGCGGCAAGAGCTGGATGCGAATAGCCCAAGATCGATCTGAGTGGCGTGCAATTGGAGAGGCCTATGTCCAGCAGTGGACTAAGATTGGCTGTTGATGATGTTGATGATGATGATGAGATACCAGTCGTAGCCCAATCACAGAACTGTAACTTTTGAGTAAACTAAGATTTTAAAGGAAAAGCTTTATCGAATTCATTCTTTGTTAGATTACGAAGATCCCCAAAAAGAATATCAGGATCATCATGCGTCCATGGGATATGAGAAACACTACCATCAATGTTTTCTTTTCTCTCTACTCGTATTTACAGCATCAGATCTATTCGCTTCTAGTCTCTTCTAACACTTAACATCAGGCGGGTAGAGTTATTTGCTGCGTCTTTAATGAGAAAAGCTGTTCATTTCACACGATTTAACTTCGGGGTTTACACAGAAAGTTGGTGTTGGATTTGTTTGTTAAAGAATCTGTGCTAAAACCGGGGATTACCGGGTCGGCATTAGGTACGTAACCCAGGGCGGATTTGTGGGTGTTATCAATCCTAAAATAACAGACGAAACTGACTACTTAGAATACCATCTGAAGATTGGTATATTTAAAAATAATTGTAGGAAGAAAAGATATCCTATTCGGTAAGTAAGCATAAATAAAAAAATTAATGAAGATTACATTAAATATTAGACATATCTCATATTCTCTCTATACCATGATCCATTAGTTTACTCTGAACCCAGAAAAGTAGCATGTGATATGTAAAATACAGAAAATAAAAATCAGATAAAATTAAATTATGATAAACCACTTATTTAATAAGTAATAAAATAAATGACTAATACACATTTGTAAGATAATTAAAGATATTTTTTTTCATATTTTGTAGCATAAAATAAATTACTAATAAATAAGATATTTTAGTCCTGGTTTATTGTATTCATAATTCTGCACTATAGGCAGAGATGGGCAAATTTTATTTGAATAATGTTTTTTTTTCTCTATTCCAAACATTGGGAATGCCTGTGCCCCAGCAGTGAGGATATTCATTGGTTTAGAATGCTGATGATGATTACGATAATCTGCTTGAGTTTGGCAGGTTTATCATAGTTGCATAGGAAAAAATGTGTTTTATTGCTGCAGATAAAGGCAAAGGTGTATTGTAATTAGCCCTTTTTTGTGCCCTTTTTACTTAAAAAAATCCAGATATCAGTTGAGAAATACAATGCATCATTTTGTCTTATTGCTTATAAAACCAATAAAATTTATATTGATAACTCAATCAATATAAATTTTATTGGTTATTTTAAATAGCAAATAAAAGCATCAATAATTTATTCTTGGGCTATTTATCAGTAAATAATTTATTCATTATTGAATTACTCCTGAGTAATAATTTTATTATGAAAAATATGTTTTTTCAAATTATTATCTAGATAATTTTTAAAAATTTATAAGCATAATGCCTAATTCTGGCTTTAGGTGAGACCAATTCATAATCCAATTTATGTTATAAGGGAGGCAAAATAGCATTCATTGTTGTTTTGTAAATTAATTTGGTCAATAAAAATGATATCTCTCTCTTCTCTGTCATATGACCTGGCTGGTGGTAGCGGCCTCTATAGCTTATAGAATCTTGTGATTCCAGACATGGTATCACTAATGTATAGGCTACTCAAATCCGTCCTTTACCCTGTGGAGCACAAAAACCTTACCTACACAACACCACCAAAAGGACACAGACAGACTAACAGAAACAGGACATCACTGCAAGGTAGTTTATATCACTTTTGTCTTTTTACAGGGGAGGTCACTTGTCTACATTGGTGCTTATGTCCACACATGACGTAAGCATCTGTGCCGGATATACCTTTTATACCATTCCTTTATATTTATTGTCTATGAATTTTTGATACCTTTTTTATTTAGATTGTTTTTCTTTGACATTAAAAAAGATTGTTTTACCTTGTCACTGCCACCACTATTTTCTTTTCTCTTTAATAATAACTAAAACTACAGTCCTTATCCTTCACCGCATCTCTTGATATTTTTATATATGACTTACTTGTACTATTTACTCAGACACAAAATTTATAGAATGTTCTGTCTTTTATTGATATTGATTAAGACTAAAAACTAATTCAACTATCCATACCCAGTATTAATGTCAATAATTACTATACTTATTTATGATCTCTTAACAGCTTAATTATAGTTATACATTTTTCTAATTTAAAAATGATTTAATATTGTTTTCTGTTCACACAAACTTGTTTATATGAAAATTAAGACCTTAAAGCTGTTAGCAGATAGGTAACATTAGTGGCAGGTTTTATAAACTTTTAAAGCGAACAAAAAACTAATATTTTGGTTAATTTTAACAAATTAATTATGTCTGTTAGATAATAAAATATTAAACTGAATAGGAATACTGAGGTAAAATGTTAAGCTACATATAAATGAATATAAGAATACTTCACTGTACACCATTACAATAAAAAAAAATCATACTTAAAGGTACCTATTTGGTATAGAAAAAGATGGCAAAGGAATCATACAGAAGTGGGTTTCAAATAGGTAAGTAATTCAATTTTATACTAGTTTCGCTTGTAGAATAATGGTGTTAAATTAAAGGATAACTACTCATAGCCATCTCATTGCAATTTTATAGTTATTATTCAGTTTTCTTTGGCCTCTTCCCCTAGTTTCTTATCTAATCGAAGTCTAGTAATAGTTTAAAGTTGTTTTAAAAACGATATTACGGCTGTAGATCTTACAAAGATTTCATTTTCCTATCAAAACACAAGAATATTGCAATAGGTATCTACATACAAATTGAACAGTTGCTTGTCCTTGAAACGGTTGTATTGTCAATGAGTTAGTGTATAGTTGCTGTAAGTATTATGAAGGTCTTACCCAACAGACCGCCCTTACTATGACGGGAGGCCTCTGTATAAAAGCCTGAGGGTCGAACGCTCCACCAGCCTTGCCTCCGCCGTACGCTCCTGTCGTCTCCATCTTTTACACTTTTTTTACTTTATAGCAAACCACAGGACCGAGCCAAACTGCCCATCAATGGTTCGAAAGCAAAACGACCTCGAATCCCGATTTCCAATTTGTATTATCGATCGATCGCGCAGACTACACACAATTTCAGAGATGTCAACAAGACTGACACTTATTTTCTTGCGTTTGGTAATAATGTCATTGATTCACTGTGCGCATCTCTGATTGGAGCAAATGCAATTCAATGTATTGAACAGCCAATCAGCGTTCAGTATGTAAGGTTACAGGATTTTCATGGAAAACTTCGTGGAAATTCACTTCACTAATGAACTGTCATCGAAAACACAGAGTTTTCTTGTCCCAGTCTTGCACTTTGCCACCGCTTTGCATTATTCGAATCTATGATGTTAGCTACGTTTCTTTTCTATTCTTCTCTCTAAAATGGATAATAATATTTTTTAAATTACCAGCGGATTTAACCCGAAATAACCCGACTGTATCGCCACTTTTCAAGTAAAGCCATGGCCATGGCCATAGCTGTAATATTTTTTTTGCGCTTGTTTTTTTTTCCTTCCTGGGAAGCAAATGGAGGAGAGTGGAGTGGGCATCGTATGAGTCGTACACGACCAATTTTTATTTATTTATATCAAATATTTATATTAGGGATTTTACGGAGCTTCGACTCCGATTCCGATAAGGCGGAATTTCCGATTATTATTACACCTTCGGTTCCGATTCCGGTTACGAAACTATTTAATCGGAGGTTGTAACATAGCAAATAGCGACGGCGGCGGCCTGCGTCGACCGTTACGAACACCCGTCGAGTTGGGAGTCTGTGTTAATAATAAGTAAATTTAAGTGAAAAAGGGTTATTTTATAATTAAAATAAAAAAGGGAAGACTGAATGATGTTTCTAATTGTTCTTCAGTGAAAAATATCTCTCTTGTGACCATTTTTGACTCTGCCTCTGACCCCGACACTACCTCCGACTCCGACTCCGACTTCGGTTCCGACTCCGATAAATCAAGTTTAAAACTTCGACTCCGACTTCGGACTTCGGTTACATCCCTGATTTATATCTATCATAACAGGTAGGTATTTACCCAAGGCAATAGACACATCCATTTAAAAATTACATTTTAATACTTATTAATAAAGACATTGAAAATATAATTAATTGTAACTGATGATTAACTTCATTATAATGATGTAACGATGAAGAAACTTCTACAAAGTTTATGGAAACTTAAAAAAAAATACTCAAGTCCGATATGTAGTTGTCGTTAATTAAAATCCACGATAAAGGTATTTCAGCACAAGTAAGTAGGTTTTGTAATATTTTTGTTTAGGGTACCTACATTGTCCCGACTAGATGATATAGGAATATAGGTACCTACTTACTTAGTTAATTTAATGACGTAACAACAATGTATCCGTTGGTATCACTGATTATTAAGTCGCAGAGAAAACGGTCGAATGAAAAGGTTTCTTATGAACGCTGCCCTATCGATGAGAGATATACAGTGTAAACTCCATGTAACGTCACTCGATTTCACGACTTCGAATCACTCGTCTTAGGTTGATTTAGTTTGTTTTCCATACAATGATACACTCCATATAGCATTACACCCACTCTCAATAACGACAACAATTAAGTAATAAAAAGTACCTTTTAAGTTGCCAAAATTAGTGAAAACCGCGCGGCTGTGTACGTTTTTTTGTCGCTTTATTATCCTAACCCGTAATAAACTCGACTGCCGGCATCATGCAAACAAAACTTTCTAAGAAATCCGTTCTTTCGTTTACAAATTGGGATTGCACGTGTAGAATGTTGTTGACCATGCCAAAAAAAATATAATTCAACAAAATTACTGGTGCAGCAAAAGACGTCAGACAAAAATACAGAATATACGCAATAGCGTTCAAATAAGATATTTTTTTTATGTAAATCAGTACTAGCTTGAAATGAACTTTTTCTTTTCATAATTCTGATTTTTATTCTTTCCATTTAACGACAACTCTCTAAAACGCCATTAAATGTTCAGTCCCTTTAGTGTCGTTATATATATAGAGTTTACACTGTATTTAGAAAATCTTGTCAAAATATATAAATGTATTGTTTCAAGTGTTTAAAATAAAAGACTTCGCATTTACTGCATATCATTTGGCCGAATGCCGAATGGTTTAAGAAATAATATGACATTAGGTTGGGGAAATAGTATATTTCATTACTAGTACGGAATGGTTGTCATTGCAAAGAGTTCCGACAAATGTCTACCCGAGCCGAAGGCGAGGGTTGACAGTCGGAACGAGTTGCAATGACGGTTCCGTACGTGTACTGAACGACTATTTTTAATACAGTTGCGAAAAAATGAAGCAATTTAATCAAATTATAAAAACACAATAAACTCAATTAACTAATCATTTATTTCTTATAAAAGTTATAATTCACATATACATTGAAATTGGTACAGTTTTTTATACTAACTGGGGAAGTTTTACGTTGCATATTTACTGTTTGAAACAAACTATTATTAATTTCGTATGATTGTTCATGTATATTTGTCATACAATGGCGTTTGCTAGTTGATGGAATTGGATCTGATGAATTATCATTATCAACGAAGGTATTCGTAGATGGACGAACGTTCTCTTCAGCATGTGAAGGAGACGGACTGGACCTTAAATTAATGGATTGTGTGATCTTTTTCCCAGTTTCTAGTTTGTTGTTTAATGAATCACCAATATAGCTTTCTGCAACTTTGTCCGATTTCCAACCACCTAGTCGCTTTAAGGACGTCAAATTGACTTCTGAATCTGCCAATAATGTAGCAGAGGTCCTTCTGAAGCTGTGCCCAGTATAACACTCAGCATCCGGCAGACCAAGAAACGTAGCTATTTCTTTTGGCATATTACCAAATTTGTTTATGCCGATTACTTGAGCTGTACACTTCCCTTTTTGGAAATTTTGAAAAAAACGGTCGGATTTTCCTTTTTGGGACCGCTGGTTCATATATTTTTTCACTATTGTGAGAAAATCTCCTTCAACAACAAAGCTTCGCGGTATCTTATTTTTGTGTTTGGAATCTTGATAAGTAGCATTTCTCCATGGGCTTCAATATCTTTTAAAGTAATATTGGCTAATTTGGCGTTGTTGGAGCTTGCAGCAGAGCTCCTCTCTGCGGCAAGCTCCAACAACGCCAAAAATCAGAGCAACCTAAAAAAACGATTTGATTCATATAAATAATGTATTGACTGTATTTTGCGATTTTGTAAACTGAACACTAAAGAAAAATGTAGATATGTATACTTATTAATAAATTACCTTTGTGGCTAAATAACAATCATCGGGAGCTTCTTTCAAAAACCTTTCCACGTCATTCGATGTTAATATTTTCGACTTTTTACTGGTAAACCCGTCTGATTGTCGTTTTAAGAAAGAATTTAATTTTGGATATTGACTTATATCCACGTTGTTCCTTATTTTCAGCATACTTTTTATCATCGAAAACCTTGACCATAACGTAGAAGGTTTTAATTTTGCTGAGAGTTCGGAAAAGTATGCCAACATAATATTTTCTGAAAAACTATTTGCTTTTTTCTCTTCTTTCCACGCAATAAATTCATCGTATGTAGATATGTAGCGAATTTTTGACTTTTCCGGTAAAATGTTCTCCGAAGCATTTTGTGCAATTATACTGAGTTCCGGTGGAGTTAATTCAAAAAAAATTAGGTCGAAATTACTCATTTTGTGTAAAAAACAACTAAATTCGCAAAGAAAATTTCGGAAAATGGCGCCAACCGTAGAATGTAAGCAGTTTTTTTTCACCCATTCTGGTAGGCAAAGGGAACTGCCCATACAGCCAAGTCTTTAGTACTTAGTATTTTTTATTATAAGAAATGAAATTGAAATTTAATGATATGAAATGAACTGATACCTTACTTAACTCATTCAATCAATTAATTAATTCTGATATTGGACAAATTAGTATAGGTAGCTTCTTTTTAAAAAACAAATAAACCTATTTGCATGAATCGCAAAAACTTCTGTGATTTTTTTTAGTTAAAACTTCATGGTTGTTTTTTTTAATAGAAATAATTTTGACAGTTGGGAAAGAAAACGCACAAGTTCGGGAAAGGCAAAAAAAAAGCACGAGTGTGAAATAGCCCAGATCCCGAACGCTACACGTCCCTGCAATACGCCACTTTTTGAGCAACTGTATTAAAAAAGTTTTTTCGCAATTTATATGAAAATTCAAAACATATTTTTAATAAAGTTTATTTACAATTAACTAAAGTATGTAGGTGCCATTTTGTTCGATAACTTTTTGCCATCTTGTAGGTAGGGACATGAAACCATAACTATAGAAATTTTGGGGCTTCTGATCAAAAAACCGCGACAAGTGGTTTTGGCAGTTCTCTCGTGATGTTAACCTGACACTACCTAAAGAATTCTGAAGAGACCGAAACAGGTGGAAATCTTAAGGTGCAAGGTCAGGTCTATATGGCGGATGCATTAACATCTCCCAGTCAAACTATCTTAATTTTTGCTGAGTGGATAACTAAAGTTGTGCGAGGTCTAGAGTTATCATGATGAAAAACCACACCCCTTCTGTTGATTAATTCCGGCCGCTTTCTCTTAACTTCTTGCTTTAATCTCATCAATTGTTCACAGTAGAGTTCAGAATCGATGGTCATGCCTGGTGGTAACAGCTCATAATGAATAATGCCCTTCCAATCCTACCATACACACAGCAACACCTTGTTGCGAGTTAACTCGGGTTTCACCAGGGTCTGTGAAGCCGGACCGGCCTTTGACCACGACCTTTTTCGCACGTTCTTGTGGCACGTGATCCAGTTTTCATCATGAAAAGAGATCACATTTTCTTTCACTCTCTCTCTCTCTTATAGCTGGTAAATGAAATATGTATACCAGGCCACACAAAGTTTTACGAAAAAAAGTTTTTATGTATAAGACACTGGCCACTTGCAATAATTTTGAAAACTTCGATTATTTAAAAGTAAAAATACCACTGTTTGGTTTTCAAATTTCCCCCCGCATTTTTTCGAGAGCCAATTAAATTTTTCTTGTTTCATTAAAAAATGGATCTGCTTCGAGAACATTTTCGTGCTATGATTTTTTTACAATTTTAAATGTGGCTTGAAACCTGATGAG